ATATATATATATATATATATATATATATACACACACACACACACACACACACACACACATGTGTTTATATGTATAAATGATATACATATATATATATATATATATATATATATATAGCTTTTTGCTGCTTATAATGTGTTATACAAGGTTTTACATTTCCTTTGCAATCATAGCTTTCTAAAATGCACAAGTAATGAAACACCCATGTTTTCAGTGTCTGCGGCCAGCGTTGCTGAATGTTCGAGAGATGGCCTTCACGATCAGTGACATGGGCATGTGCAAGATGCGCCAGCTCTACACCTACACTCTACAGGAGTTCCTAGAGGAGCAGCTCACACACCTAAAAGATGTATACATATATATAAGCAATGTTTTATATGTCTTAGGCATAAGATGGTTGGTTGTCAATGCTGGATTCACTAGTCCATTTTTTTGCTATAAGTCGAATTAAGTTGTGATCTGTGTAAGTGTGGTGTGCTTCTGTGTGTTTCAAGAGCATCTTCTACAGTAAATGACCCTTCTCATGCCCATTAATTCTTGACATTATTTGACTCGGTCGGTACTATTGTTAAAATTTAGTTTTATCTACGAGAAGTAGTTGCGTACAGCACTTCTAAGTATAAAGGCTATGTGATATATTTGCAATCAAGATAAAAGAACGAGTGATTGATTCTCCATGGGTATGGATTTCTTCGTACACAGGTGTCAGCGAGACTTGCTGAGTTTAGAGAGCTGGTGATGGAGGTGGTGCGCAGTGCTTGTAGGGCCGCTCTTCTCGACACTGGCTTCACTCCTGACGACTTCATCTTAGAGCTGCAAAATTCAGGTAGAATGAACAAGCAATACATTATAGGCGGTGTAACCATGCTAATTTATAGTTAACTACCATATAATGAATTTCACAAAATGCATCTCAGTCCAGGAAGCATGAGTCTCTATATGCGAACTGCAATGTTTACAACCGTGGCTGGTTAAAATCTGTTGAGATCCTTTCTATAACTACTCTAACTATAGGTTTAGGCCAGTCATTTAGTTATGTGTTTGTTAAAATAACAATAAACATTAGCAGCAATAAACATCTATTTAAGTTCTATATTTAACTATCTAAGTTATATATTTTAATGTCTAAACAATATATATATGGCATTACAAATAAGTTAAGTACAGTCTTTGTCAGGACATTTGGGCAGGTTACAATAATATTGTCAAGATTAAGATTAAGTTGTACTTGTTACCAAATAAAGGAGCAGCTCCGATGGACCTCGAGAATTCTCTGGAGATGTACATCGAAGCTGCAGAGAAGATGACGTACACGGAGCAAGCCAATAAGCGAAGCCAGTGCCATCGCCTGACCAGGTGAAACATAATACGACATGCGCTTCCAGACTTGACGTGCGACTCTACGTGTATGCGCGTGTCAATATAGTAATGTTCGTAGCTGTAGAACACGTTTTTGCATTGCTGCTTATGTACGCATAATCTTTGAAAAAAATATTTCGGGAATTCTCTGACATGATCGTATAGTTATCTCTATACAGCTTCATCAGACTTGCTGATTATCTCATCGCCTGACTATGTGTATGTGAAACACATACGAGATGCGCTTCCAGACTTGAGCAACTTTATGTGTATGCACGTGCGAATGTTGTAACGTTGGTAGCCGTAGAACACCACGTTTTTTGCATCATAATTATGTACACACAATGTACGAAAAAAATCTTTCGGGAATTCTCTGACACGATCGTATTTATCTCTATGCAGTTTCATCAGACTCGCTGACTATCTCATCGTCAGTACGATGCACGTGTTGGCTGTCAACTCCATCAGTACGCTCCTGGATATCCTCACTCAGCAGCTGAAGAAAACCCCACCACTCCACAGTTTATCCTATAATGCCCAGGTATGAGCGTTACGACTCTCACTAGCTTATGAGCAGAGAGTGTGGGGGAGGGGTGAGAAATACCGAGAGAGAGAGAGAGAGAGAGAGAGAGAGGGAGAGCGAGAGAGGAGATGAGAGGAGAGGAGAAGAGAGAAGAAAGAGAGAGAGAGAGAGAGAGCTAGGGGTGAGAAAGAGACAGCGGGAGAGGAGAGAGAAGGAAAGAGAGAGAGAGAGAGATGAAGAGAAAGATAGAGAGAGAGAGAGAGAGAGAGAGAGAGAGAAAGAGAGAAATAGAGAGAAGAGAGAAAGACGGGGGAGCACTGAGGAGCATTGTGATTTAACACTCATCTTGATGTTTGCCCTCATCATGTACGACTTGTACTTGAACATTTTTTTTCCACCTGAAAGTGTGACATGGGCGCAGTCGATAAGTCGGAGGTAACTGGTGAAGCCATTGATGACGTGGCTGCACCACGGAAGCTGGAGCCTCAGCATGTACCACTCTTTGTCATCCAACTTCGTCTCCATCCAGGTAAGTCATGCACTGTCTGGCTTCTAACCTCCTCCCCCTCTTATTCTTTGCTTCCTATTCCACCGCACTCTACTATTCGTGATCTTTGCGACGATCGTAACCATTCGTTCAGATTGCTTATTGAAAATGTGCTTCTCAACTAGTGTTATGTATTTGCAAGAGTTGCTGTACCCGTGTGATGTACATGATTGTATAAAGGTTAATTTAAAATGGATAACACGAAATTATCATGTCTTTTTTTCTGGGTAATTTGATGTTTTTTTTAAAGTGAAGTGTTAATTTTTTTTTCTAGACAGCTTGAGCTTTAGTCCTGACGAGGAGCAACTTCACGACGGTATAGAAAAGTGCATTGATGCGTTCAAAGACACAGTGCTTAGCATGGAAAACCTCATTCCTGACTCCTACTTTGATGCCTTTACCAGGTGCCATGTGTGCCTACCTGAATTCTTATCTAGATATTTACAAGGGTGAAGCATGCTTCACTAAGCACATAATATGTATATATATATATATATATGTTTGTGTGTGTGTGTGCGTGTATATGCGTGAGTGCGTGAGTGCATGGGTGCATGTGTGTGTGTGTATACATCTGTGCATGCATATGTTTCGATGTTATAGTGTATTTATATGTGTATTTTTCACGATGCAGTCCAATGATAAATTCCAAAGTGGAAGAGAAGACGTGTGGTGATGGACCCAGTATAGAAGGCATGTTTGAAGATGACGTCCACCTGAAAAATATAATCGACCAGATACAGGTACATAATTACAATGTTGATGTTCTCTATTAAAATGCATAATTGCATGTTTTATAACTCATTGGATTTGAAATAGAAGTAATTAAATTAATATAGTTGTGAATGGCAAATTTACGCTGGATTTTCCATCAGCAAAAATGATATTCATCATAGGAAATTAATTAATGTCGATGTAAAAATGTTTTTCCTTTCTGCAGGAATGCGCGACAACAGCGTTCAGTGCAGCTAATCAGTACTGTCTCACGTTCGAGCCACTCGGAGAGTTCTACAGAGAGAACGAACACTTCGATGTCCAAGATAGGAAAGACGATGATAATGGTTTCTATTCGTACACACTCACATTCATGCATTTCGTGATTAACACAAATATGTTCCGTATTTAGATTTCCTTATCTATTGAGAATGAAAGATTAGAATATATTGAAAAGAAAAATGACATAATTACATTCAAATTATTTTTATTAATAATTACAAAATTTTGCTAGAATGTTATGGTTATAGGTAACATTTGTTGGTACTGCATTTTTCGGTGAAAACTGTGTTAAAAAGCATGTCACATGTAATTATACTTGCCTAAAAACTGGCCTGTGTTGTCTGGCTTTGCAGATGTGTTGTTCTTTGCCCAGTCACTGGCTAAATACAGTGGTCAGCATGCCGAGACGCTAAAGATCAAGGAGAAGCAGTTACTAGGACTATTCCTCATCGACACTCGGCAGTTGAAGGACCTCATCACTCCTTCCCCTCTACGCTGCCTTGAGGTGGGCCGGCTGCCGTCTTCCCTTTCAACACGATACAACATGTTACAACGCATGTCAACTTGCGTCAACAT